TATTGAGGTAGGTGGTCTATGATATTGCTATGAGATGTAATATACAGAAAAGGAGCAACTTCAAATCCAAACGAACAACAACCAACATACCATGAAATGTACAGTTTGCCCGTGCCGCAACCAGCCGCAACCCTGCATGCCCTGCATTGATAAAAATGAAAAGGCCACTTGAATATCATTATTTGTGTTCTAAACTAGTTGGTAATACAGTGAACCGCCAATGGCAGAAGACTCTGTGGCTCCCCGTTCCCTCAACACTATAGGTCCTCATCAACTGATAAAAGTTACGGAGCCCTATTCTCCGTAGTGTTAAAGCTGGAAATCGACTGATGGCTCTTCGACTGATGAATGCTGACACTGTTCGCGGTAAGCATTTACAGCTATTCTGAATAGGCTACCAGCTTTGTACTTTGTAGACAAACATTGCGCATAAGACCTCATTGGGAAATTGAATGCTGCTACTAAATTAATATTCGTGCTCAGGCATCTTATATTTAAAGGTTTGTCGTAGAAATGAAATGAAAATATGAAACAAAACTTGACAGTTATCCTGCACATGCATACTTGCGTTGAAACGCTTATTTCTGGCTCCCTAAATAGCTTGTACAGCTTTTGTTCTGGCTCCGATATTATCAGCGAATCGGCGCTTTTTACCAGCCCTGCCATTTTGCAACACATGCTGAGAAATAGCGAGGATCAATTAGTTAGTCAGATCAACTACAGCGCTTTGCTGACTGCGACGCTGATCCGCAAGGGCCAAGGTTTTTACGGCTAGGTACTCAATTCATCTTGGGTATTATGTCAGCGTGAGACATGCTAGGATAATTATTGACTATCATATATGCCAAGGCCCTAAATATATGCCACGCAATCCGATAGGGAAATGGTGCCTACGCCACAATTGATGAAAAGTGCAGGTGATATAGGGCGTATAAATCACCCATTTCTTCAGGTAGGTGTGCCCGTAGCGCCATGTCACAAACACAGGTCATTGGGACTGTAGCGCGAACCGGGCCACGATGGCGTGCTGCCGAGAACGTCGGGCCAAACCACTTCCTGAGAACGTCACCGTAAGTGGTTCCCAGCACAGCACTTACGACGAGTGAAGTGCACAACTGGACGTGACACTAAGTGCCCATATGCCGGACAAATCGCACTGGGTGCACCGGTGAAGAATGTGAAGCTTTTCGCGAGAAGAGCGTAGCGAAATGCATATGGAAAGCATAGGGATAGCATCCCCATCAACTATGCTGTGCTTACGAAACCATATAAAAAGGTGTGATTTTGCAATATTGTTAGTGCATGTTATGTTGTGTTGTCTGTTTTTATATTTTCTAAAGTGCTCGACCCGTAAATTAGATAAAAAATTAATAATACTCGGCTTATTAGAATTACAGTTCCGTGGTCCTAACGCTAAAATGCCCACGAGATCTTATTTCCAATGCAATATTTTACGCAATGCAGGGTCACAAAAAGCTGTTTATTTCAAACAATATCTCCAACGCACCGTTCCCACGGTTTTTAAAATGGAGCAAACAGTTTTTATATATTTCTCTGTTCTATTTCTCTGTTTAACTGTTTATATCTATTTCTCTCCGCAAGTGTTGCTACCGTCTATAGACGGTTACCGTGACATAAACGGGATTATTTCGCTGACACTGACCTTTGCTCATATGACACGCTAGATCTCGGTAAGCCTCTGACATTTTCAAGTCAATGGAGCTCGATGATGTTCGTTCTCGTCAGCAGCTGATCCTCGGATCACCTCTCTCAGAGCCGGTAGTTGTTGACTCCCAACCCAATATGGCTGTGAGAACGGCAATCATCTTGTCCCGCTTGGGCCAGATAACCAGCAACCTTCCACCACACACTCCAGGAATGTGGTCGCTGCTGCTTCTTGAATTAGGACAAGAGACTGCTTAGTTCTGATAATTTAACTGATATATTCTAGCATACTTTCCCTTCAAGCAGGGAAATAAATACGTTCAGACTTTAGCCCGATTAGCAGAAGTTGACCTTATTCCTTTTCACCGCCCGGTTTCTATATGACCATTGAACACCGGCCAGACGTTTGATTTAGGTATAGTTTGAGCTTCAGGCCTGGGTGGGCTGATCGCTCCTCTGGAGACTGGTCGGAGCCGATTGGACAGTTGAGCGGCCACGTGCCGCGGCGACCAATCAGCAAAAAAGCCCCGCTGGAAACGGCCGGTAGGCGCGGCCCGGCCGGCGCCGCCGCTCTCAAAGAGGCCGCCCGACCGCCCCCCTGGGGCCCGGGGCTGATTTTATGGTCATTGTACGACTGGGCTGGCGGCGGAGAACACCGCCCGCCGGCGAGAGAGCGCAGCTGGGTCGGTGGAAACTGCAGAGAACAAATGCCGGGGCCTCGTTAACTGGAGCGGACGCGGCATGATGCCAGAGTGCAGACCACAGTCTCACGGTGTCGGAACTGATCTCCAGCTTCAACCCTGACATAGCACCCTATAATGGTTAGCTTAACGAGCATATTAAAGACATTCCGGCAAATCAGTAATTAGCATCTTCAGCATGTGGGTCAATATATTCCTGCCCGGGGCCGGGATGATTCAATAAATGTCTGCGAGGTTTTTTAGCGAAAACTCCGAGGGCCGTTAGGCCCGAGGTGCTTTTCGCTAAAAAAGCGAGGTGACATTTATTGAATTCCCGGCCTTAGGGCTGGAAGGTGTTTCCCATACCTGCCAAAAAGCTCACAACTATAATTGATAGTGACGTCAGCAGCCGTGTGGTTCAACGCGTTTAACCACACCCCTTGAACCACACGGCTGGCAATATTAAAGCACTGCATTAAACTTTGAAAAGTGTGGTACAGTGCACGTGCCATTAAAATGCCTGGATGTCTCGATTTAATCATGCAATGTAGCAGGTATGGGAAAAATGACAAATGCCTACGTTCTAGGAAACATAACGATGATCGAAGCATGCGAAATCGCCAGCTATTTTAAAGTGCCCGTACCACTACCGGCCGCTATACGGAACCTCCGTGTCCTCTGCAGGTGATCCTCAGGCGCACAAAAAAAAAATCATAAATGGAGATGGCCAAACACCTAGGGGAAAGTGGGGTAAGACGGGCACCTTAACTTTGGAGCCATTTTTCGGCCGGTTAGAAACATCATAGAAACGGGAAACTGAGTGAAAACCTTTTTTAGACATTTTACTTCCATTTGTCAGAAGCTAAGACTCAGACCTGATTCAACAAATAAACTGCAGCTATTTTTGCAAAACCTTGCAAAAACCCGTCTTACCCCACCCCATGGGGTAAGACGGTCACATGGGTAGGGCAAGACGGCCAGCTTCTTTCACCAACCAGCACAGCTCGCAACAAATGCCCGAGATTAGCCGCATTGATACAGTCGCTCGTTGGTCTCAAGTGCTTCGGAAATGACAGTATACGAGATTCGTGCAGAAGGCGTATGCTCGTATATAAGCCCAAGTTCAGAAGCCATGTAGAACCCTTTTCACATTCATTATTCGAGAATAAACTGTGCCGAAGGAATATTGCGAACATGTCTGTGAGTATCGGAATCGATCATATTTTAATTAGGAATGCTTCTTTTTTTCCTACAGCAACAAAAATATTTTCACCATTACAGACCCATTGGATTCATAGTTGCCCGTCTTACCCCAAACTCAATGTCAGAAGTTCAGCACGATTGTTCTCTGTGGACAATTTGATGCAAACAAAGCAAATCCGCGGTAAATGAACACTGGTGGCATATGAGTGTACCACAAGTGATTGCGAGTTTTTAACTCTATAGTGCTGCACACAAAAGCTTGCAAAATACATTATGGATGTTTTCAATGAAATGCGTGTTTTAAAGAAATCAAAATAAAAGATTATCGACCGAACACAAATTCACCACACTTCAATGGTGATGTGTAGTGGGAAAGGCAATTCTGGTCCTAATTTTTCTCGCTCGTAGCGCTATTGGTTTGGTCTGCAGAAGGGGTGCCCGTCTTACCTACCCTGACCGTCTTACCCCACTTTCCCCTATGTACAGGTGACCTATCGTTAATTAGAAATGAGGGTGGTCTCGCATACTTCTGGTCTCAAAGAGGTAGTCCACAGACCACACATTGCACAGTGAGCACACCGCATTCTCGAAAAAGACATGAGCATTCAAAATTTGAAGGCAGCTGCCAATGGTCATACTCATAGCGACATGATCACTTTTTCCCATACCTGCTACATTGCATGATTGAATCGAGACATCCAGGCATTTTAATGGCACGTGCACTGTACCACACTTTTCAAAGTTTAATGCAGTGCTTTAATATTGCCAGCCGTGTGGTTCAAGGGGTGTGGTTAAACGCGTTGAACCACACGGCTGCTGACGTCACTATCAATTATAGTTGTGAGCTTTTTGGCAGGTATGGGAAACACCTTCCAGCCCTAAGGCCGGGAATTCAATAAATGTCACCTCGCTTTTTTAGCGAAAAGCACCTCGGGCCTAACGGCCCTCGGAGTTTTCGCTAAAAAACCTCGCAGACATTTATTGAATCATCCCGGCCCCGGGCAGGAATATATTGTCACACATCACATGTTTCAATACCGATTCACACTAGTGCACATCAAACTCCAGCTGTATTTGTTTGCATTTATTTATTTGGGGTTAATACGCTGTCAACAGCAACGCGGTATGTACTATACATAATTGGACGACTGTTTCTACGCGGCGCGACTGCTGAAGCGGGGCGACCTCGGCCGGCGCCGGGCCGTTCGCGACTCCCGGGTCGCGGGCTCAGCGTACCGCCGGCCGCGGGATCCTGCGAACGCCTCATCCGCCACCGAAGATAACACTATCCCACTAGAACGCAGGCGAAACTATCATCACCCACGACAATACAGCACAAGATAAACAGAAAGGCTAAATTCGTAGGGGACATTCAGGCAAAGCATAATAAAAACACAGTTGAAATGAGCATCAGATCGTCTCGTTTCGGACACGTTTGATAAAAAAATGGTAATTCAGTGCGTTCATTGGGGTAGGTATTCATGTATGAGGACAGCCAGTACTTCAATGCTGTGGCATACAGATCAGCACAACACATTACAAACAAGTTCTCAGTAACAATGGCGTCTTGTGTACCGAGATGGACAACAAATAACAATGGAAACATCACACAAGTCATTAGGTATATGTATCCACAACAGGCTGTTGCCTGCAACATACAATGTGTAGGTACCTAAAGTTAACCGCATGGATTTAAAAAGACCGTTAACTGTTTAACTTTAACATGATGTAAGGAATGCTGGAATTTAAAAGCCTTTGGTACCATACATGCTAAAATGGTAGGCAAGCAAGAAGAAATGCAAGTGAAAAATGCAATGAAGTATATGAGTCATAAGCGAATGATTTATAAACAGCAAGGTAGGCACCTTTTATTAACCCTCGCCGGCACAGCCCATTTTGAGTCCTTCGACGGCACAAGAGGGGGGGGGGTTGGTACGAACCCCCCTCGCGTTTGGCCCCTGATCGAGCTAGAGCTTCGCGGAAAAAACGAGCGTGTTGCCCGTCACGAGAGGAAGCCGATGATACCCAATTTTAAGGTCCTAGGTCATCGGGTGACCTTCCAGGTCAGGTCAATGACCCGAAAACCGGGAAAATCGGGACCTGTTAGAAAGTCGTAAAGTGTGGCTGCTATGTGGTTTTCCGGGGTGCTGATCACGAATATCGTGTTAGTTTTGATCATAGATGATGTCTTTAAGCATTTAGACCGGGTCGGGTCAGGTCAGGTCAGGTCAACCGGTAGGGGTTGTGACGGGTATTCGTAATACGTGTCAACCGCCTCGGACAGCTTCGTAATATGTTACGAAGGCACCAAAACTACTTCGTAAATGTTCAAATGGTTGCTAAATTCGAATTCAGCTCCAAAAACTAGCCTAGAAACATGTAAAACTCGAAAACGTGAACCGAGGTCACCCGAGGTCACCAAAGGTCAATGACCTGACCTGACCTTCAGGTGACCTTGACACCCACCCTATTGCATGGGAGCAACATCAAATCACATGTTTGAACGTTTGAAACCACGAAAAGCTTGCAAACGCGCGGCTAATGCGAGCGGACATGTGCCGAACCGCGATTTCGGCCAAACATGGTCACAGAAAAGAGGTCACAGGTCAAAGGTCATTGGGGCCAGGGTCATGAAATTTTCAGGGTAGGTGTAAAATTGATCCATGCGAGGGTACTGAAAGTTTCGTCGCGATCGGCCGCTTTTTACGCGAGTTATTCGCGAAAAACCTTAGGGGGGGTTGCATCAACCCCCCCCCCCTGTGCCGGCGAGGGTTAAAGTGTAGGTATACGCATGACAAAACACGATGTCAGAACGAAAAACTTGGCCTTATAGGGTAGCTTTACTTCCAAGAGGTGCATATAAAAATAATATTCCCTCTGTTATTGTTTAATCCTTTTATCTTAATTAAGGTACAGTTAATTAGTTAAAGTTTTTACATATTTGGCATCCATAGGAGCAGGATAAACATTCAGTCACATTTGGATATGTTTGGGTAATTAGTAGGTATATTTATAGGTACGTTTATACTGCAACGTAAACAATGATAACGCTGGTTTCAAATGATATCTATATTCTTACATCTTTCCATAACAGCAGTGGACACTGGACAAGCTCATATCGGCCTAGTAAGATAATTTTTTGAATATTAATTAGGAATGGATCTGCTAAGTACCATATTTGCATACATTAATTGTTTACGTCTAATGTTTCATAGGAATGCAGCGTTCAGTATTTAAAACATCAAAGAAGCCACAAGATAAAGGAAGCTATGACCCATAATGATGCACCTAGTTAAGTATTGATGTGATAAGCGTAAATCTCAATTATACATATACGTAGGCTTTAGCTGTTATTACTTTCAGAGAACTAATGCAGCCAAGCCGCAATAGCAGCACACTCGGTAAAGAGAGTCGATGACTAACGCATGTCATTTCAGATATGTTTGCTGAGACAATTGAAAGGTGTAACATCTAATATGGTTGCAATTCCGGTCACTAGGACATGCATGCTGCAGGAAGTTTAGCCCTTTAGCAAAAGTATAACGATCAAGAAACAAGACACTTATGCAAAAATACTGATAAATCCACCCGCTCGCTCACACTGTTTGCTGCGATTCCTTCCTAAGTAGATATATCTCAATGGAAAAAAGTTTGATTTTATATTTATCACGTAAAAGCTTTCAAAGCCCAAGATGATTGTCTTGAAAATGGATACCAAATAAAAGAGCAATCAATACATTTTCCAGCAGATGTGCATGCGTTGTAAAATAATGATTGTCATTAACCAGCTTGAATCACAAGGTAGAAAATAGAAATTGAAAGGCGCTGTGTGTTGATAATAAATTGAGCCACATGGAGTATCGCTGTAAACGAGGCATGCCAGCTGTGCTGACAGGCGTGCAGCTACGGTACCCGTTTGCCTTTTTAGCTGGGACGCTGCTGAACGGAGACATCCCAATAGTGTACGGGGATAGCGCTAGGGATATCGGTACCCATCGACATTCGACAGGACAGAACCCATCAACAGGACACCATTGGAGTACATTCAAATGATGGGATCTAAAACGTGAACGGATCGACTCAAAACCTAAGTCGTCTCAAACCTAGGCATTCATCTGTGCTGCGTCACTACGCTATCTTGCCCAACAAGTTCACTATTCTCGACTGCAAACCTACCAAAGCGGCCTAAGTCTTTCACTATCATAGCTATATCGAGAGGAATGAGGCCATCACAAAAGGACGAACGACACATATCGGCGCCAAATATGGCCATTCTATGTACACACAATCTGAACAGGCGTGTACAAAGATATTATCGAAAGATTATTGTTAAAATGATATGTTGAGATTGTCTGTGCAGAGCACCATTTGCATTATACGTTCTCAAATTGATATGTTGTATGAATGGCGTGGAACGTGAAACGTCACTTCGCCATCAAACATGAGTTCATCTATCGAAGCTGATAGATTTGAACCACTTTTTACAGTTTACACATGTAAATGACGTTTATACAAGGCCGGGGCCCGGTAGAGAGCTGGCAGCATGATAATCCACATAGAGAACACACTGCTTACTGACACCAGGCTGGTTGGGCGTTGGGACCCGGTTGGTGCTCAACCTTCCCCGGCACTCCAAGCTGGATAGTTTTGTCCGGCTAGCGTATAAGGTCCCAGCTTCAAGTGATGATAGACTTTTGCTGATGTGAAGCTGGTTTCCTTGCCAACAACTGGCGACAGAAGCAGCAGTCTCTGCCACCAGCTACAAGCTGAGCCAGTAGAGGTAATTCTCGCTATATACAGCCGTGTGATCTGTGACGTATCATGTTGCCCCGGCCATTCCGGCCAGCGCCGCACGGCTCCGAATCAGGGCGGTGCGAGAGACGCCACCGCACAGCGCGCTGTCGGACCATTGGACCACACACAGACAGACACACAGAGACCCGGGACAGCGCCATGGCCGCCGGGCAACGATGAGAGATGAGACACCGCCCTCACCGTCGGCGTCCGGAGCACGCTCTGAGGACACCCGAGAGGGCGTGTCCGGGCCCTTCTGCGTCCCTCCGAGACGCCCCAGACCGAGCTCCGTCAGGCTTGGACCGCTCGCTGCGCCCAGAGCCCAGCTCGAGCCGCCGAGCACTGCCAGCTCCCTCGTAACGAACTACGTGAGCTGCTGACAGACACACAAACACACACAGACATTCACCACGGGCGACACGGACAATGATGATATGTTATAGTGAAGACACTCTGTTTCAATGAAGTAGGTATAGTCGGTCGGACTGGCAGCGGTCCGACGCCGAGCTGAACTCAGCTACCTTTGGACAGTGTCCGGACTGACTGTCCGACACATCTCTGAACTGTCTCTGTCCGACACATGTTCGAATGTCACTGTCTGATACACCAGCAGACACTGGCGGACATGGGCCCTGTGTAGTCCTCTCGCGAGTTTCCTCGCTCAGTCTCTGGGCGTCAGCGGGCTGCTGAGAGATTCTTGGCTGGTCACGGGCTGCCCACTCCGCCCCTCAGCCCGCGGCAGAGGCCTCGAAGCGTGACTTCCAGTACACGGCGCCTGTGGCTGTTTTCTGAGCTCTAAAAGCCTGCAGAAGCAGCTCACCAGCGCAGGCCAGTGATCAGAGACAGCAGCAGACAGCCGGTCACGGCAGATGAGACGACAGGGCCGGGTCGGTCGCCGCCCGACGCTATCGCGCAGGTGATGGGCTGGTCGTCCTCGGGGTTTTTAACTGGCGGCATAAAACGAGAGCAGAGTCAGAGATGAGTTTACCGGCTCTGAAATGGTCTAACTGGACCGATAGGGCCTAACCCAACAAAACAAAAAGATGAATTACAGACGGGGAGATGAAGATGTCAGAGGCGGGTCGCAGTCGGGGAGTGGAGGGGTCAGGGGCAGGGTCAGGGTCACAGTCCAGGGAGGAAGAGAAGCCTCGACGGGTCACGGAGGGGATAACATTCCCTCCTGAAACCGGGAAGCCTGTTGACAAGTGACATTTTCAGTTATGTGCAGACTGCAGTCACATAAATTGACAATACAAATGCAAGGGATCAAAGGGAAGACGTGGGTAGAAGACAGAAACGATTTAATCAGATTTTGGCTCACACACCATTCAGGAAATTTCCGACTCGTTAAAGCTCACAAAACGAGATCTGTTTCCATAATATTTCCATTTTTGGCAAAAAGTACAAATGCAAGAATTTAAAGCAAAAATGTAGAGCAAAAAGCATATAAAGCTATAAATGCAGAACAAAAAGAATCTAAAGCATGAATTTGCCCGCTTCGTATCAGAAAGATGGCGTATTCCGTAGAAGTCAGGCAGCTCCCAATTTCCCAGAACTCTGCAATAGAGCCAGCCAGCAAGGCAGTATTTAACGGCCAATGCTGGGTTCTGACATGTGAGCGTGGCAGCTCATTGCTGGCTACCCAGCGACATGTATATTTCGCTTCGAATTCCCCGAGTTGGGGCACACCCAACCAATCTAGAACTCATCCTGTCCGTGAAATCGCCGTCCCATTTATGGACTTCGCATGTGTCGTTGGATTTCCAGGAGCCAAAGGTCGGCAGTATATTCAGTTCGAGCTGTAAAACGTCTCCGGTGCTGCCAATCAATATTGACCGGGACTCCAGGAAGCCCAATTAACTGCCCGATCTGATGGGTTAAACGGACGGAGCAAATGACAGTCGACAGACTATTTTCATAACATTTTTAAACTTGAAGCATATCGGCCCGGGGCTTAGCGTTTTCGCATGGATCTGCCGCTAGTTGACAACCAAGAACTATTTATTCCCAGCACCTGAGGTCTGTTTCGTAACTGTTTTAATGTAACAAAGACGCTCAAATTAATCTATTCATTTGTATTTATTTTCATTTGTATTAGCCAACTTTATGTGCACTGCAGACCATTTACAGTGCCGGTCAAAGATATTACTGACAGCTTAAACATCGTACGCATACCTTTGGAGATCAGCATATTTTTTCTTCAGCTCTGCAATGGCCTTCAAAGTTACCAACTGCCTGCCTAGAATTACCGGTCCTCCGTCTGTTCTCAAGAAGCCTACACTCAAATTCACATAAGCCTTTTAGTCGGCTGCAGCAAATGGCACGTCTTAAGAGGTCGGCTGTGATAGTTCAGCGCCCTGATAGAGCCGAGCCGGCTGGGGCTGAGGCGGCACTCGGCCGCGTATCTGGGCTGAGAGAGCTCCTGCCCGGCGGCGGCAGACCCGTACTGCAGCCATCGATTGGCCTCGCCAGCACCGGGCCGGCGCCGTCTCAGAGGAATCGGCGCCCGTCACCTCCACATTAGGCAGCCGGCAATCTCCCGCTATATCCGCAGACAGGGAGAGGGATCCTCCCTCCGAGCGGACGGTGGATGTTTGGGCGGACGGTGATATAGTTATCCCTCACACGGCTGACCAGACCGCTGAATATCATTAGACGTCTGACCAGGCCAAAGTATACGTCAAACGCCAGACCTGACCGGTAATACACTCGGGCGTCTAACTGAACTGTGTCATGCCAATCAGACTAAAAAATGTAGCAAAAAGGGGCAAGTGCCCCAACAATGTATAGACTGCCATCTTGATAACCAAACCCGGCAAGAATACATTTGCTAGTTCAGCTGTTCTACAGAGGGTCGACCCGGCTATCAATTATTCCATGCACGAGTCCGTAGCAACAAGAATATTACATTGGGCCGGTAACAAGCAGCAGGGCGGTGTTGTGGTGCTAAAGGTCACCGAACGTCGTGCTGAGAGAGATAGCAAAGGTCAGAGGGCGGACTGCTGAGTCGGCCGTTCTATAAATGGCTCAGGTATTGTGTGGCGCTGAAGAGAGCATCGTTCACAGGGGCGGATCCAGGAAAACTCCAAGGGGAGGGTCATGAATCGAAGTGGTGCCCCTACCTATACCCAAAATTAAAAACTCAACGGATTTCGTCCACTTCATTTTGGTGGTGCCCCATTTTCAGTTTTTTCTTTTTACTTTTTATTTTTAGTCAGTATCTTAACTCTTAGCCACAACATTTACCAATTGTAAGCAAGTATATATGAATGTGCTATGTGTATATATGTTGTGGACGCTGAGTAGTGAGTACTTACCAGGAACGTTATCAGGTAAGCAAATCGTTGTCAGTCCGACGAACTTGACCCTGGCGTCTAAAGGGTCTGTCCTTGACACTTCAGGCTTGTCAGGGGCACCAAAGTCCTTCCAGGGACACCACAAACCTGTCAGGGGCACCTACGGCCTTGTAGGGGCGCCACAGGCCCGCCAGGGGCACCACAGGCCTGCCAGGAAGCAGGGGCACCACAGGTCTAGCTAGTATACACGACAGGCCTGTCAGGGGCACAACGGGCCTGTTGGGCCCATGAGCACCCCTAGGGGCAGGGGCACCACAGTCCTTCCAGGGGCACCGCAGGCCTGTGAGGGGCACCAGCGGCCTAGCAGGGGCACCAGTCAACACAGGCCTGCCAGGGGCACCACAGACCTGCCAGGGGCACCAGAGGCCTGCCAGGAGCACCACCGACCTCGCAGGGGTAACTTGGGCCTGCCAGGGCCCAGGGGCACCACGGGCCTGTCGAGAGGCACTTCAGGCTTTTCAGGGGCACCATAGTCCTCTCCGGGCGCAGGGGTAGCAGGGGCACCAGAGGCCTGCCAGGGGCACTACAGGCCTAGCAAAGGCACCACTGGTCTATCAGGGGCACCATGAGCCTGTCATAGCCAGGCATCTCAGGCTTGTCAAGGCCCAGGGGCTCCACAGGTCTGTGAGGGGCACCAGCGACCTAGCACCAGTCAACACAGGTCTGCCAGGGGCGCCACAGACCTGCCAGGGGCACCACAGACCTGCCAGGGGCACCAGAGGTCTGCCAGGGGCACCACCGGCCTCGCAGGGGCACCTTGGGCCTGTCAGGGGCACCACGGGCCTGCCGAGGGGCACTTCAGACTTTTCAGGGGCACCAGTCCTCTCCGGGCGCAGGGGTACCAGCGGCCTAGCAAGGGCACCAGAGGCACCAGCGGCCTAGCAAGGGCACCAGAGGCCTGCCAGGGGCACCACAGGCCTAACAAGGGCACCACGGGCCTGTCAGGGGCACCTCAGGCTTGTCAGGGCCCAGGGACACCACAGTCCTTCCAAGGGCACCGCAAGCCTGTCAGGGGCACCAGAGGCCTGCCAGGGGCACCACAGGCCTAGCAAGGGCACCACTGGCCTGTCAGGGGCACCTTAGGCTTGTCAGGGCCCAGGCGCACCACAGTCCTTCCAGGGGCATTACAAGCCTGTCAGGGGCACCAGAGGCCTAGCAAGGGCACCACAGGCCTGCCATGGACACCACAGGCCTGCCAGGGGCACCACCGGCCTTGCAGGGGCGCCTCAGGCCTGTCAGGGGCACCACGTGCCTGCCGGGGACACTTCAGGCTTGTCAGGGGCGTTACAGTCCTGTCAGGGCCCAGGGGCACCAGGCCCGTGGTGTCCCTGCTAGGCCTGTGGTGCCCCTGGCGGTCCTGTGGTGCCCCTGTCAGGACTGTGATACCCCTGATAGGCCGGTGGTGCCCCTGGCAGGTCTTTGGGCCCCGGGCCTCAAGGGGGGGCCATGACCCATGTGACCCCCCCCCTTGGATCCGCCCCTGATCGTTCATTCGCCCACGTCAGTTAACTACAGGAAGCTCCCAGAGCCCAGAGGTCATGAGGTTCCAAACCATTAACCAGCTGGCTGGAACGACAACCAATGTCAAGAAAGTTTTTTTCAAGCAAGATAGCCCAACTAATTTATAGAGAAAATAGCAGATGTCATCCCCATAAAATTGTATAACGACTTGAGTAAGTTAATACTAAAGGCATTCAACCAAATGACTCTGACTTGGTGAATTAGCTTATGTGTCTTTGGCTGTGGATTAGTTATTGTGTGACTTGTTGTGCCCACCCGAGGTGGCACAGTCTGGCGACACGACATCACATGTGAAACACGCAATAAAATACTGAGAAACTTTATCACTTATTTCAAATATTCATTGGCTGTTTCTCCACTCAGTAACAGTTTTTAGAACATTTGATGATTGGTTTACTCCGAGGTATCCGGCCAGTCTCAATTTCCGGTAAATGCTTTTGACACGGAGACATTAGATGCCGAAATTTCCAGAAAGCCAATTGTTTGTAACAGGTTTTTACTTTTTACCGACGCCATTCAATAGTCGGCGGCCAGCGAACCATAGGATGAACACGACCGGCGACCTTTGGTTGGATCATACCGGCACCTCTGCCGACAGGGCCCTCTTCAGCCGCTGTGGCGGAGGTCCCGTATCAGAGCGAGGAATCATGTACGGCGCCATTTCTGCGATCTCTCCACCCGACACGATAAAGTTTTCCAGCGGCGAAAAACGGCTGACGTCGGTCGATACGGCCTGGCCGACTGCCAGGATCCCCGAACTGTCCGAACGACCGCCCTCCGCCGACTAACTTCTCGGAGCCGCTCGTAAAGGCAGCCCGATCTTTCTTTCTTTCTTTTTTCGCTGAGCACGGTTCATAGAATGGATACGACTACCCAATATCTAGTAGGATCTCGCTTAAATGTTAAAACTCGACTGACTTAGGAGCGAATCCGATCCGCCTCATCAAAATACAACTCCTGTAGACTTGCAAAAACATTGTAAAACATGATTTAGTTGTTATTATAATTAAAACAAAATCAGCTATACATTTATAACTATGCGTAAACCTTTTGTCTACGGCCCCGCACTAGCAGCAGCCACCTGTACTGGTAGACTGTGCCGCTTGGCTAAAGTGTCAAGCGGCACAGCCTTCCCTGAGTACCCATGTCGGTATATACGGGGTGGATAGGCTGTGCCGCCTTACAATTCAGCCAAGCGGCACCTGTACTGGTAGACTGTGCCGCTTGGCTGAAGTGTCAAGCGGCACAGCCTACCCATGCCGGTATCGCACGGGGTGGACAGGCTGTGCCGCCTTACATTTCAGCCAAGCGGCACAGTCTACCACTACGGTAAACCGAGCGACTGTGGCCAGTGCGCAGTCATAAAGGTAACCGGTAGACAAATAGCTCCATTACTTAATTCTATACCCGACTGTACCCGCAATGGGCGTTCGTTTCCGACTGACCTGTCGCCCTGTGAATCTCAGGCAGGTGCTTGTTCCAGAAGGCGCACTGCCGTAACCGCAGGCCGACGCCCACCTCTGACGAGTTGGACGCCAGCGTGAGGTACTTTTTGTCGTACGCCTTGTACTGGGGCCAGTAGTCGGTCGTCCATAAGTTGGCCGAGCCTCGGTTCGGGTTCCTGTGAAACGATGACGGGATATTGACATAACCAAGAGACTTAGTCACAGGACGACTGACATTCACCTGCTTCGTCAATGATTTTAATTGCTGGCAGCTCGTTAGTGGCTTGTTGGACATATAAGTACTTAAATACTAAAGGCTTCCTTCAGTCATGTTTTTAGCGATATTTGACGGTTAATGAAATAAGTAACTGGCACAAACACGCGCGTCAGTACCAGTTAACTTACAACTGTCACCAGACTATGCAATATAAGTAGGCATATGTAGCACAGCAATTGAGAGTGGTGTTCCACGGCCCAGCCATAGCCTAAACAATTTTTTTTGTTTAGACGTGGTCCAACTGTACCAATGCAGAATAGGCATGGGTTGTGGACGCATGTTGTAATTGTCGATGAAACACGCCTAAAAAGATACGTTTTTATTGTTCTACAAGCGACGCCATTGTTGTGCCCAATCTAATGGGTCCTATAGGACATTGACGGTTCTGCTAGATTCGCCAAATTGCTCTTAAACCACAACCCCGCACTGCACTGGCGAAACGAATGCGTATTGAAAGTAAAAAATATATCGGGCTCTAAGAGGTCTTCGACATGGCCATTGCCAAGTTCTGATGAAATCACCAGGTCATTGAAGTAAATCTTCAGGAGAGAGCCACACTTTAGGTCGTGCTATTTCCAGCGGTGCCTGAATGGAGAAGGGAGATTCAATTGGAGACAAGCTGCATCGTCCCGTTGCTATTGGAGACGATCCCTTGGCAACTAACGTTGGAAGAGACAATCTAATGGTGATACACATCTCAGTTGGAAGAGACAATCCTGTGACGATCCGAGGCTTGAAGCCGACAACCCGCAGCTATAGGAAGAATAGGCACTGGCAATCATCAGGAAGAGACAGACTATGATTTGTGACGACTCACAACTTTGAAGAGCAGCTCGCAGTCACAGGAGGCAGTGATGCATCCCGTGGCGACTCGCTCCTGGACGTAGCGCTATGATGGCCCCCGGGAGGCCAGTGATGGAGGACTCGCCCTGACGGCAGCCGACCCGGCCCGGCGCGCCGGCCGATATTCTCAGTGGTCGGCTGACGTCAGGCTGTGATCGGCTATCTCATACCAGAGATGGGCGGGAGAGAGCGAAATGGACAGGGAACGGGAGGAGCGAGGGGATGGAGGGAGAGAGGGAGCCGAGGCCAGAGCAGTTCCGAGCCGTGCTCCGACCTGTGACACTGGGCCATCAATTCGCTATTTCTGTTCGAGACTGACCAGCCCAAGTCTGGTTCGTTCCCAAAGGCCATTAGAAGCACAACATAATGCCGACTGCTGATCAAAACGTCCTTGGAGGTTACGCAAAGACGCTGTTCCTCCAGCACCACGAGACTGGCCTGTTGTTAGATGCTAAATCGAACTACAGCCTATGTTCTGCAATTTGCAGCCTATTAGGCGAGTGTTCAAATATCACCTCTGCCCCACCTCACAGTCGATTTAGTGCCAACACATTGCACGGACCGGCATGGTGCGGGCAGCGACCGTCGCGCCACAAATAGCGCCGGCGCGCCAGAAGCGGCGAATACGGCGCCGTGGTGGTCGCTCGGCTCCTGCAGCGCCGATCGATCCCGGGTACCCGACCGCCCAGACTTCCGCGTCGGTCGGGCGCGGCAGCGCCGCGCCTTCCCGCAGTCCCGTCCAGCGAGAGACGACTGCTGCTCGGTCACGGATGGACAGAATTCAGTCCCAGACCGAATTGTGATTCAGTCCGGTCACGAACCGAGGGACTTGGCAGGCCATTGTCCTTTGGATAACCCTTCACGGCTGGGAGTGGAGGAAGAGGATATCTTCTCCAAGTGGGTTGCTGTAATAAAAAAGTCAAGGATGAATCGAGCAACGAAGGGACGACGTTCTTTTGGAACGATGCGGAGAAGGTGTACTACGAAGGAATGATGAATTATGCATTCTGCAACCCGATTACAATAACAATTTCAGCACACACGTGGACATGGGCGTAAGAATCTAACGAAAAGTGGAGAAGGGCAGCGAAACTTCAATGTCACTTTGTAGGAGTCCCAATATCCCTATGAAGAAATTCTTTGCAGTTTTGTGCTCATCTCACCTTGCTGGACCACCTCCTGCTCTTATACTTGTATTTAGATAAAAATAAAGATTTTACTTAAAAAAAAAATGCTGAAAAGGGGGGCCATGACCCTCCGCCCCCCCCCCCCTAGGCCCTATGTTCTTACGCCTATGCACGTGGACATGGTCTGAGCAAACATAGAACGAACAGAGAGCAGATGCTCGCTGGCCGTGCAAATAAAAACCAAGCGATGAAGCAAGAAGCAATAAACGGCGTTCGCGAGTTCGGCAGGGTAATACTTTGCTCTTAGATTTTTTAGTTTTTGTCTCGTCAAAATTAAAGTGATACCACGAGAGGTCATGAAATGCCGAATTTTGCGAACTGACACCAATGATTTACGGCAAACGACGTAAATCTAAACACCATAATGGTGCCAAAAAGTCAGCGGTAGCTATTGAAAAACATTTTCCTGAATGAAACCCGGGAAAAGCTTACCTCGTGTCAATTGTTTGGGCTACAGAGGTCTGTGGCTACGACAAAAGCTTAACATCACAAAATGGGCTTTTGAGTGGGGTTTCTTGAGATAAACTGCAAAAAGCTTGCGAATAAATCTGACCTCAGATCATGTGATCGACCTGCAGAAGTCAACAAAATGAACTAACCTATTTGGCAGACGAAGCTTTTCTGCGAAATCATTTTCATACTGCACCTATGAAAGCCATTTCATCACTTCCATTGAAGGTTAATGATTTCTCAATTGCTTTGCAATGTTGATGTCTTGAAGCTGACGTTACCCCAAATCGGAAGTATGAAAAATTTACGAGACATAGGTAATGTCACTCATTTTGTCAAGGAATTTACAAGGAATTTTGTCAAGGAATTTACAAGGATCTTCTGGGAATTGAGACTCGGATAGGCCATTGCATTTTTTTTAGACTAAGGGTTACTTTACTTGTCCTGGTAAGCTTACCTAAGTTGCTTGAAGTTTGACCTCCATAAGTCCATAAGCTCCATAAGTCCGGTGACGTCACCGTGGCTGGTAATTTTCGTCCTATCTCTCTTTTGTCCGTTCTGTCCAAGGTCACTGAGAGGGTCGTGTGTAACCAGCTTACGGCTTACCTGCAGGATCACAGCATCATGTCCGACGCACAATATGCATACCGACGCGGCCGTGGCGTGGAGGACGCCCTGATCGACGCTGTCGAGTGGATGTCAAAAAACATCGATTCTGGTCGCTTGATATCGATCACAGCTCTGGACCTCAGCAAAGCATTCGACAGCGTCGATCATGGCGTCCTCCTCAGTAAGATGGGTTGGTATGGCATTCCATCACATTGGTTTGCCAGCTACCTCGGAGACCGGAAGCAGATGGTTCGTGGCGGTACTTCAGTGCTGCCTGTATCCTGTGGGGTCCCCCAGGGATCCATCCTGGGTCCTGTTCTCTTCTGTCTTTTAGTTAACGAAGCTCAAAATTTTCTTCCCCATGAACGGCTCATCAGCTATGCCGATGACACCCAGTTGTTTGACTGTTCTTCAAAGGACAGGGACAGTATGGCATCTCTCAAGAACCGCCTTGAAGAGTCCATCATGTCCATCCAAAAGTGGCTTGCAGTGAACTCGTTGAAAATGAACCCTACAAAAACCGAGTTTACTCTCATAGGCACGAGACAGGCCGCGAGAGAAAACGCAACTTTCTACTTCGAGATGTCTGGCCATCAGTTCAAGCCGTCCGAGCACATCAAGGTTCTAGGCGTAGTCATCGACCAGTGCCTCAGATGGGACAGTCACGTGACTCGCGTGGTACGCCGATGCACAGCAACCCTTATATCTCTTTACCGGTTCCGTCGCCATTTTTCAACTGCAGCTCTACTCACCATCATTCGTGCTCACGTTTTCAGTCACATTCTGTTCTGCTTACCCGTCTGGGCAAGTGCCTCTGGTGAGCAACGGAAGCGCATACAAAAAGTAATCAATTTCGCGGCCCGTGTGGTGACTGGCACGCGAAAAACTGAGCACATCGCCCCTGTCTTGCGGTCTCTGGGCTGGCAGAACATCGAAGGCATGATTTTCGAGCGGGACTGTATCAAGGTGTTTAACGCGCTCAATGACCAGTATGCTCCAAACACGATGCGCAGCATGTTCACGCGGAGACGGGAAACGTCGCTTCGTGATACCCGTCTCGCTCGATCAGAGCAGCTCGCGCTGCCAAGGGTACGGCTGAGCACCACTCAACGTGTCTTCTCTTACCGAGCCGCGACAGCGTGGAACACGCTCCCGCCTACTGTAACACAGTGCACTTCGAGAGGGCAGTTCATGGTCAGGTTGGGAGAGGTGCAACAGAGTGGAAACAGTGCTTAGGTGTGTGATATATGTAGGTATGACCCCGTTTCCATGGGCATCACTGATCCGGATCAGCAAAATTAAATCGTATTATATTTATCGAACTCTTCGTTATATGTTATAATTCCAAGTGGATTAGGCTTATATAATCAGTTAATCCCTTATTTTGATTCTCATATATTGTCTAACCATACTGGATTAGCTAATCCATTTTTACTGATCCGGATCAGTGATGCCCATGGAAACGTGGTCTATGATTTATCATCGAGTGTTTATCTAGAACGCCTCAGTTTGTCTTATTGTGTGTATGTGCAGTGTGCATTTATTGTATGACGCAAACTTCCGAACAGCTGTGCGCGCACGGATGGAGTTTAATATACCATACCATACCATACCTTAAGAACACAGGGTGATAAAATGTAGCGCTCTCAGCTATACCTACTGACTTTTGCGGAGAATGGCCAGAAACGTTCTTGCCTTTGCACCGAGCGAAAGTTGAAATTAAAACCCTGAATTTACAACTGAAACTTCCCGAGATAAGTCAGAGTTGGTTACTTGCCAAAAGGGCCTTTAGTAATACGCATGGTTGTGTTGCATGCCACATAGGGGCTCTGTTGCTGAATTCAGTGACGGACATTGAGCGAGTGCATGATAAAGACATCGCATAAGGTGCATAATAGTAATTGTGCATAATAACGACCCTTCTTTGACGGCAAAATTCGCACTTTCATATGTGTTAAAAAAACACATGTGTACAGAGTAGGTACCTATTTAATTACTTAAACTAACTACGTAGGCAATAACGCCAGAAAAATACGATAAGCATATTGATGGTCACGATTACAAGAAACATCAACGATAAAATCACAGGGATGGTGAAGTGAATTGTACTTGCAAGGTAGCCACATAGCAGGGGCGATCGAGTGTTTGCAACACTTACCCAGTTTTGGCAAAGTTGGCCCAGTAGCGCATCATCTTAACCGAGAGCTTGCGGTCATCTGCTGAAAACTTTTTGGTGGGATTGAGCGGTTCTCCGAAGACAAAGGAGATTTCGTCACCGTGCAGCACACCCATCCACTTGGGCCACGGTGACGCGGCAGAGCGCTGCCGGAAGTGGTACATGAAGACACCGTTGCCAGTGCTGGCATATGTTTCGGCGAAGTCGTTAACACCGCAAAGAAATTGATAATCACCGACCATTTTATCGACAGCGTCCAAGTTTGATTCGGGGTCCTCAGGATTGACCCAATTGGTGTACTCAAAGGCAATTGCTTGGCGAGCCGTTGTCGTGAAGTAGGGGTTCGTTTGGCTTACGGATTCGATAAACTGCTCTCGTGTTAGCACAACATTCTCTTCGAGTTTCATGTAGTCGGTCAGGTAATAGACGAGAAAATAATTTGCTTCCTCGCTGACGCTACCTGCCAATATGTTTGTGCGTTTGTAGTTGCCGGTTTTGAGCGATATGTGCGGGTCCTCCACGAGAAACGTGCCATCCACCACCGGCACGAAGGCAAACTCGCAAATGCCGGTGGTGAAAAACTCCGAATGCACCAAGTCGCTCGGATGGACTTGGCGTAAACACTCGATGAGGCTCTCCACGTCTTGCTTGTCATACTCGTGACACTTGGTGGCCTCAGCCAGGCGCAGGCCCCGCTTCTTGGCCTCCTCGCGGTCCAGCACCGCCCACGGATTGGTGGCCGTCGACGACTGCATGATGGCCTGGCTGAAGAGCGGTCTCGACAGCGGCGACAGCAGGTGCATGCTGATGCTGGCCGAGCCGGCAGACTCTCCGAACAGCGTGACGTTGTCGGGGTTACCACCGAACGCGGCGATGTTGTCGTGCACCCACTGAATGGCCATGAGCTGGTCGAACATGCCGGCGTTACCGGGCGCCGCCGGGTGGTCCATGAAGAGGAACCCGAGCGAGGCCACGCGGTACTGAATCGACACCACGATCACGTTCTCCTCCGACGAGAGGATCTTGGGATCGTACACGTCCAGCGTGGACGAGCCGCTGTAGTAGGCGCCGCCGTAGATCCACAGCATCACCGCCGCCGGACGCTTCGGCTTCGGCCTCGGCAGCACCACGTTCAGGTACAGACAGTCCTCGCTCAGCGGCGTGTTGGCGTTCCACATGGTGCTGCCGATGAAGTCGTTGAAGAAGGTGTCTTTGATCTGCCAGCAGGAGTTGGGCAGTGTGCGCGCCTCCCGGACGCCCTGCCAGGCCTGCATGGGTCGCGGGTGGCGGAAGCGCAGGTTGCCCAGTGGTGGCTGTGCGTAGGGGATGCCGAGCCAGGCGTCCACCTGGCGACCGGTGGCCGCCGTCAGCGTGATGCCCTTCAGCAGACCGTTGTCAGTCCGCACCACCAGGTCGCCGTGCTCCCGCTCCGCAAAGTTGTTGTTCTCGTCGGGGAAGGTCAGATCGGGGTCGCCGAACTGCGGGTAGGCCTGCGACCGCGGTGTCAGCAGAAGGAGAAGTGCCAGCTGAAGCGCGCCTGAGAGCGAACCTGTAACAGAGGGGAGTGGACGTTAGCTCCCATTCTTCCAGGTCGGAGGGAGAAGTTGTAGAAACGATCGGGGAGTGGAGGAGGGGAGAAAGGAAGGATGGTGAAGAGAACGAATAAAAGGGGAAATAGGGAAATAAAACATACGGTGCAAAATTATTTAAATGCCTCCATTTCACTTCTCCAGAAATTGCGTCAAGCTGCAATTTGCATTCGCAATACCTATTGCTCGGTAATGGACAATGACGTTGTTGTGTCTCTGGTAATGTTATGAATATTACTCATTGGCTTAACTTTCTATCTTCTATCCGTTTTCTTTTTGGTAGGCTGTTACTATTGTATTATTATAGACGACAATTTACCTAATTAAAGTTTTGCTAATAAATGATCAAAGACACCAATCCGAAAAAGTCGATTGCAAGACAGTTGTACTTGACTTCAAAGTTCAAAGTGGTAAAAGGGATAACCCACAAGTAAGTAACTATTGGGCAATAAAGCTCGCCAGTGCAACCTCCGCAACTGGATTATACGAGCTCGTATGTAGCACACTAATTCAATGTTCCTCAAGACAGCCCATTTAATGACCAGGAACTCGAAAATCCGCAATAAATGTTACTGATCCGTCAATTCTGAGATCTGTCTTGCACGACACCTCAGGCGGCTCATGCCACTCGACGGCTGGCGAACGACCGGCGACTTTGCAAGCGCCCTCCTCCGCACTTCGCCGCAACAGAGGAGCATCGAGCGCTATTGCGGCTGTCGGATGCGGCGCTATATCATATATGAAAGGATTCATTTGATCAGGGGGAATAAATCACTTTGAACTTAATGCGTAGTTACAATTTCAAGTTAGTCTTTCTTTGTAGAGTTATTTTGCTCGGTCGTTGACAGGTCTATGTATCTGTGTCTCTGGGGAAACTGCGGGGCTCCGTCTGACCACCGTCAGCGTCCTGCCGCTCCTAATCAGGCTGGGTTGGGTCTGCTGCAGCCGGCCGGCCCTCTGTTTTCGTCTGCACGTGCCGGCCCAAATGCCCCCCGGGTGGGAGAGCTGATGAAGGGCCTATCGATCATGCTCGGAGAGCAATATCCAATAGGGATCCTGATTCATGAATAGTGAATTACCTCGAGATGTAACTCAGTTGAGATTCGATTAATTAAATAATAAACTTAAAACGGGAAACTAAGCGGTAGCAGTTCCCATATGAAGTGCCTCTTTCCCAACAACTAAAACAATATCATATTGATACAAATAAATGCTTCATTCGAGTTCCGACTTCATATGCGACTGTTATGCCGTGCACTACCACCGTTTAAATGCAAGAATGCATAGGTGGCGTATGTTGATGCAAGATCTTATCTTCTTATTTATTTATGAACTTTTACACATTTAACAAAATAATTTTGATTAAAAATAATAAATCGATGAATGATATTTTTAATACCAGTGATACAGATTTCAGACAGACCTTGAAACCACTCAAGAAAGTTTGCAAAGTAGGCACACCATTGCACGAAACACTATCAACTCATGCCAGTCCCTTAGTTGATATTATGTTTATCTCCGTTTGAGTTGGGCGTCATCTATTTCATAAATTCATACCAAAACATTACATTACTGCCGTAAAAACAGCCGGTAGTTTTCGTTTGGGAAGATCGTGCAATATTTGCAATATTCAGCGTTTTCCATTCCCCCTGTTCAAACTGTGACTGACATTTGGCACGGGACATTCTCCTGTCAAAACTGTCTCCATCTACAGCCCCCTGTCTGACAGGCTGACAGCCCGGTGATAACGTGCTCTCGGCCAGGTGCGTTAGTGGCTGCAGTTATCATGAGGTGCAGCGCGTCGGGGCGTGATCGGTCGATACCGTGTGTCCTTGATAACGGCGGTAGCGGGTTAGTGGCACCGGCTGGCCATCGATCCGAGCGCCGCCCGGCCGACGACGGCCCCAGCGGCGGCTCCGCGGCTAGGTGCGTCGCTAAATCGTCGCTCCGTGCGTCGGCTACGAGGCTCTGAGTGCGTCGGCGGCCTTGCCCTGCGGCTCTGCGCCTTCTTCCAAAATTATTCGGGCCCAGTCAGCACTCGACAGCGTCCAGCAAACACCAGTTCACCTTACAGTATCTATATATAGCAGTGCTCAACGCTCGCAGTAACCTCCATAGTCCATACACTGGTGTAACCCGGTCCCGGCTGGTCAGGCTCGGGCGGCGCAGGAAGTTCCTCCGATCGTGTACGAGTATGTGTGCGGTTTACCGCTATTTGTCCTTAGTGTAACGTTGTCGGCACCTATAAAACCTGGTTTATAGACTTGACTTACTACCTATGAAAACATCAAATGATATTGAGCATTGAGTAACATTGAAGGACATAAACGACTGTTAAGCGTAACGTGCTATGTTGACCCAAGCTTTCCATGTAGTCAAGGAGTCTGTCCGTTATAATTTCATGCAAATCTTAATATCTTAAAAAAATCATGTGGGAAAGTTGAATCACGAGGCACGACGCCGTATTATTGTTTGTGAAAATTGTTAAAGCCTTGCTTGGGGTAGATCACATCCAGTTTAAAGGAAGGGTGCCACCTTTTGGACACAACGCAGTTTTTACAAGATTAGCCTCACATGAACCTAAAAACCGGCTTCACTTACCTATGCTCGAGACGGTCAGCATTGAATCCGCACGTGAAGTTATCATTTGCGAGTTTTGCTGCCAGCATTCGGGCAGGCAAAAATCTTCAGCACTATTTCCTCGTCGTGTTAAGGGTATTTTATAAAACATGAAATCAGCAAAGGTATGTATAAAAGTTATACTTTTGAAGCATGTTTTATCATTTTGAAAGGGTATATTTTTTCTTTATGGTATACACTTAAGTTTTAAAATTTTAATTGGGAAGTTTTTCTAGTAAGTTGCATGAAGGGTGAAGGGTTCCATAGATCTCTTAAGCATTGTAAAGGAAAAACCTTTACTCGACTTATTTGATGTTCTTTTGACGTATCTCCGCGTACCTACCGGTTACCTACCGGTTACCTACAACTTAGTTCAAATCATGTTATCTTCTTCCTTTTTATTTGTTCATCTTTTTGTCTCAGTTGCGCCATCAATGCAAATGGCAGAATGATATGTTGCCATGACAACAGGATATGCCAGCCTTCCTAGCTGCCACATCAAACGACCTTGAGTTGTAGTGGTGATATAAACAACGATCTTTTTTTTTTGGCCAATGTATTAAATGCAATGTTTCGGTTTTTTGTATATTGTGGACGCGCTAACCACGTCTAAAAATTCAAATAAGTAAAATAGATTCATAGAACAAAAATTTCGGAAGGTGGCACCCTTCCTTTAATTATGAATTTAATTTATATTAAACTAAACCGTATACGACGTTCTGTCTTACAAATCAGCTTAAAAGTCGAATGAAGTGAAACATTCGACCCAATAAAATAAACATTACTGAATGCACGATTTAGACGCATAATGAAACACATGCACTTAACAGATAAGTATAGCTGGTCAACAACCAGCCTAAAACAAAATTAATCAAACGTTTTATAAAATGCATCGTGCATTGAGTTCAATCAGAAAATGCTACCAAACCATTATTATGAGTAGACAGCCACACAATGACAAAGCTTTACTCGCTATTTCTCATATTGTAATGACTAACAGCTCCTTATTATCACATGCAATGGTGCTTCAATAAATCAGGCATAATTCAAAGGTAATTTAAACCTGAATGCACCATAAAGGTAGCAGCAGCTCAAAGCGAACAGCTGATATGATATTGAAAAGGAATACCTAATGCACCCATGCAGCGAGCGCAGCTGCGCGTAGTGCGTACGTCATTCATGGAGTAATTAATGTTGATTGCAGTGGCAATTAAGTCAATGTAAATCGTGCGCTTAGCTAGCATCCTCAGTGGCTTCCGACAAACTTCAGGCTAAGCCAGAATATGCATAACACCTGGGCTTACCGTTGTAAGTTGTATCAGTAGGGAGATTTAAAGGGACCCTCCCACCTTCAAAAAAGTTAATGAATTGGCATGAATGTGATGTCGCTCGATTCAGAAAGAGCAAAAACGAATATCTACTAAATTTCACCGAAAAATATTCACCAGTTTTCAAGATATTAGACTTTTACTTTTGTTTACTTTTTTGGGATCTCCGCTGTTCCTAGCGACTTCATTTTGGAAGTGCGGCGTTCGCGGCAGATGTTGCGCGTTAATAGCATATACCACCACTGCTTTACAAAGATGTTAGTATACCTAAGGTTTTAAAATCGTTAGATCACCGCTGACGTCACAAATTCTAAGGGGGCATCTCAATGCATTAGCCCCTTAGAATCCGAAAACTGCAAGTTTGAAATTCCATATCTCCGAATTAAAGCATTTTTCGATGTTGTGAGTGCCCAAACCGGTATTTGCAGGCCATGGCCACCAATTTGGCTATCTCAACTCAAAACTAATGTTAAGGTGGGATGGTCACTTTAAGATTGATGCTCGTAGATCGGTGGTGCATTGGTGCGACTATAATGAGTGAGCGAAATGCAATCAACTATAAGCATAAGAGAACATAAGATTATTCTACTCTATAGATAAGTGCACCTGCCTGTGAGTTTCGTGGCCAGTGAACACAGCCCGGTGCAACAGACCGTGACAAACGCACCGCCGCGGGCTCCGCTCAACTCTGGCGTGGTAGGCTGTACCGCTGTACTCGCGTGCATTGCGAGATAGTCTACCTACCCGCCAGACCCGCCGGCATGTTCATTTTTCGCCGCGCTTCCGGGCGTTTCTGAGCAATAATTGATGACATATAGTTACCAAAATATAACATTGTCATTCTAATTCTACGTTATATCATCGCCTTTCAAACGAAATAATAATAAAGATAAGATAATGTAAAACGAACAACCATCTGACGTCTAATGTCGAATGCATTGTGATGGATAAAACGTTCTTTAATGCTCAGTGGTGAATACACAAATGACACGGTCAGGACCGGTCTTACAGTCAAATTGTCGTAGTGGGGCGATGTGGCGCTGTTCGTTCTTGAACAGTCGTATTTTTTTTTGGGGGGGGAGGGGTTAGGCTCTTTCGGTCTGACAAGACCATTTCAGGGCCGGAAGGACGATGGGAATTAGGAGGAGACATTGGTCTGGGCGGGCACCTTGGTGAGTCGCCGCCGCCGGGGCTGAGCCCGTCCACAGGACGGGCCGACCAGCACCCCACCCCCCAGCACTCACTGCACCCGGCTACGGGCGAGCTCTTACGGGCACTCCGGCATGGGATAAAGCTGTCCGTCCGGCCCAGAACAGGGGGTAGAGGTGTAGGGCAGAAGGATTTGAATGTCTTGAGGATGGAATTATGAGTTGAAATGACGGAACGGTGCGTACCGTTATGGTATACCGTATAATATGAGTCTCTGTGCCCAACAGTATTACTGAGCTATTATGATTATGCGGAGCTGCTGTATAATCCGAAGATAGTCAGGGCCAAGAAATCCCAGATATACCTATAGAACACACAAAATAAAACAAGTCATGGCTGCTCATAGCTAATTAAGGTGAGCATAGGTACTTATAGTTTCTCACGCCCGTCGCTGGGCTTGAAGGAGGTTTCCTTCGTGCGGCTCGGTGAAAAAAGTTAGTGCGCATACAACAAAAATTAAACGCCTGCAAGATAATTACTTGAGCAAAAATCACTTTTTTATCCGAGCAGGCTTTCGGTCTAATGAAACACTTGCAGCGCTATCAGCAACGGGAGTAGACACGAGAGGATACGGATTTACGGCTGAAGACATTGGACGGACGGTTGGCGGACCTCAAAGGCAGAGACGCAGTGGAACTGGTGAGACGGAGGTGTAGAGACGCAGTGGAACTGGTGAGACGGAGGTGTAGAGACGCAGTGGAACTGGTGAGACGGAGGTGTTTCATCGTAACGGCCTCCCCTTCACTTCTCCAGAGTTTTCACCCTGGAGAGGGTGTTCTCCAATTAATCAGCTTTCACAACCAACTGTCTCGTAGAGGTGAGCATCCTCAAGACAAGGTATTGTGCGCTGGGATGCGAATGAGTTAGTATTGAGGAAAGCAAGGACGGGTAAATAAAACCATTAAACCAGAATTCAATGAGGTTGTGCGCGTATGCATCAAAAAGCTCACATCTAATCGCTATATTTTGGTATAACTACTAAATCTACGCCTAGGGACAGTCATGGAAGACAACAGAGCACAATGCACACGGATGGCCCACCTGTGAGGGCGGCCATGGCGTCTGTCTGCGGGCGGGTCGTCCGGTAGGCGCTGCCGGCTGGCGGCCCTCGCATCCCGCCACCCACCGCGTCCACCTGCCGGCGTCGGCCGCGGCACTAACGATCCGATCCGCGGCGCCGGCGGCGGGCGGCCGCCGGCAGCGCCGCCCGCCGGCCGACGGACGCAGCTCGTCGATACACACGGCCGGCGCCGACTGGCAGCGTGCCAGCGCCCCGCGGCCGGATGAGGTCGGGTCGGGTCGGGTCGGCACCGCTCGCCGACTTTCTGCCACCGTTCATGACGCTGAGGTGGCGCGCGGCTGTCCCCAGCTGGACGGTGGAAATCGATGCCGGCCTGATTGCGGCCCGCTGCAGCCGCCCACCGCCCTAGTGAAGTCGTCCGTCACATTCGCTGCATTGCTAGCCGGTCGGCGGGCCGGTGCGGGCGACACGGGTCGATTCGCGGTCACGTTCACCAAATCGATCCACCGGGAGCGCTCGGTCAGTGGTACAGTGGGGCGGCGGTGGCGAGGGACGGCGGTCGCGCTGTCCCAGGCTACTCGGCGCTGTTCACCAGGATCTCAGTGACATGGATGATCGATGGACAGGATGGATAACCGAGCCAAGAGAAACAGATCGAGACGGTACACCGTTTCTCTTGCAAAATTGCTCCGGAACCACAATCTGTGAAACAGTTTAGCTGATAAAATTTGGCTTGTAGTTGAATAACAATGTCATTAAATCAAATGCATACATCACGTGTACATACATGTGCTTATTTCACGTTTATTGCAGCATTATGCGCACACAAACATGCATGCCACTGACCTTTGTCAAAGCTTTAGTTTTCAAGAAAGAACAATGTCACGTCTAGCCTAATTAACTTTTTATTTTTGTCATACTTTGTGCTGTTCACCCATGTGCTCCTCTGACCTGACCTGGGCTGAGCCTATGTACTGTGTAGTGTCAAGCTACGACTCGCTCATGCTGTATGAGAGTGTGATAGCTTCAAACATAGTTCGGATCACTTGGGTCTGGGTGCGTCACCAGCACTGAGCGTCGGCGCTTAACCATTGTTTTTTCCTCAATAAATCATAAGGGGGCGGTGCCCGCCTCCCACTGAGATGACAGCACGATGGAAAAGAACTACCTGTGCATATCACGAGGCGAGGGCTGCTGCATACTGGTTCAAACCAGTAATGGGCGCGCCCTCTGCTCGGGATACACGCATGCAGTCCTGGACCTCTAGCAGTTCACCTCGGGGCTCTGGAGCGCGCACACCTCTATGAGACACTGGGTCTGAGAGGAGGAACGGATGAACACCGGGATAGACATTCAGCGACGAACAACGACAACCAGACGGTGACGTCACAGCAATTAGTGACAATTGATTGAAGTATATCTTATATGTGAAAATATCCATCGATGCGAACATCACGAATACATCCACGTAGCTCCTAAAACATACATGTGTGGTGTGCAGGATATTTTCACCTTGTGATGCGCTCCTTTTGGTATGCTTTGCGTCATTTTGTCTTATATCGCTGATATTGTTCTAACCGATCATATTCCATCGAAGCAAGTCAGTAGACACAGTTTGACTATTGAGATACGATTAAAAAGCCGCAAAAATGCAGAAAGAGATGTCATAAATTAAAAAAACACCCGGTGCTAGTATTTTACAACGATCAGGATAATCACGGGTTACCTACATGATTTAACAGATACGAACACTAATTCAATAAACCAGTGAGCACCCATACAAATACTTACAAAAAGACGCATACATAAACACACGATGACGGACTACTAATCATACATATCCCGTCAACACAATGACTAAAAAAGTACTGGTTCGGTGCGAACCTTGCTCTAGCGGCCCACTTGCTGCCCTAGATGCAATGAGTGACAATCATCTGGCTACACATCTCCTAAAGCACCTACTCCCGCGCCACTCCCCACATTTCTCTGCTCCTGTGTTAGTGTGGTCTGACCAGCCACGAGACTAGCAGCAGCAGCAGTGCCAGCGGCGCCGCCTGGAGCCGTGTCGACAGGCCCGCGGAGGAGAACGCACACGCCTGGTCACTCTTCAGCGCCTTGCAGTCGGCACGAGGTCCAATTCGGGCCGCGTGAGAGATCACGTGCGGGATGTAGCTCTGCTCGTGGACGCCGTGGAACAGATGCGACCACGGACCTGTCAACAGGGCACAGGATGCGTCACTTATGACTATGGACCTGCCAACAGGGCACAGAATGCGTCACTTATGCCCACTGACCTGCCAACAGGCCATGCAATGTCGTAAATGTCCACGAATCAGCCTATGCTTAGGATATGTGACTTTTGAGCGCCCGGGCTCCAGAGGTCATCAGCGCCCATAAATAAGCCTGCCAACACTCAACATGGAACAAAACAAATCTCATATAATTACGGTCCAATTAACAGGGTGCACAATACGTCAGATACGTGACAATAAAAAGCGACGTGATAACGAAAAGCGAAAAAAAAACATGACAGTCGGCGTTATTCTATGCGACCCTGCGGTCTGCGGTTCCCCGGCGGCGCTGACCTGTGGCGTAGATAGCCACATCCTCTCCACCGTGCGTCTCCTCCTTGAACTTCAGTCCGGACGGCTGCGTGTACTCCCAGGCGGTGGTGTCCACACCGTTCAGGTCGCCGCGCACCACGTGCGAGCCGTTCCAGCTCACGTTCCAGTTGGGCCCGTTCGAGTAGAAGAGAGTCGTGTACGGCATGCCGTCGTCCCGGCTCTTCTCCGAGGCCCCTGTTGGATAGACACGAAGTAGCAGATCAAGGCTCCGTCAACGTCAGGCGCCAAGCATCACTCATATTGGATTGACCGCATGGCTATAGTGGCCCCCCTTTGATTGAAATAGCGATCCGATTACATTTAAGTTGATTCGAGCCGATTCGATTCGATGGCGTCGATAACCGTGCAGTAAGAAAGGACTACCGGTCAACTGTAACCCTGCAATTGGTTGTCAGGAGCATCGGCGGTGGTTCATGTCCACAGCGCCACCTGGAGCAGATACCCTCACCACACAACGTCACCTACAACATGCAGCGTCTGCGCGCCGCGCCACCTACCAAGGATATCCTTGCCGCGGACCGGGTATCCCTGGATGGTCATGACGTGGCTGTGGTCGGCGGTGACGACGATCAGGGTGTCCTGGTCGGAGGTGAGCTGGTGGGCGCGCTTCACGGCCTCCTCGAACTGCAGTGTCTCGGAGAGGGAGCGGCGTGCCTTGGTGTCGTGGTGCGCGTGGTCGATCCGGCCGCCCTCCACCTGCACGGCCCCGGGGTCCAGGGACAGGTCAGCCGGGCGGAGAGCGCCTCACCGACCGGACTCGGATCTATGGCTCGTCACGAACCTCTCAGTATCCTCCCTATGATAAGTCACAAGCTGTTTATTAGGGTCTGTTTATAACCGGTCAGGGAACGATCACGGCCCTGTATATGTATAGTCACGCAAAGATAAGCGTCTCTGTGTGACATATTGTGTTAGCTGACTCGGCACTCTGCGTCGTCAAAAACGATAAAGTGAAGAGACGATATTACACAGCAACTCGTTTTTGTTTCACATCGTTCTCGGGTGAAAAAAAGACTGAACATTTCTAAATAATTATAAGACGTAATAAATAGTTATTCGCGTATCTCACCGCGAGGAAGAAGCCTTTTTCGTTTTTGCTGAGCAGTTTGATGGCAGTCTCGGTCATTTCCACCAGACTGGGCGTCCCTCCAAGGGTCTTGTCTCGGAGGTCTTCGTAGGGTGTGTGGCTGTTCCCGAACAGACCTGCGGAGTACGAGCAGGATATATCACAATGGGGTGATTAGATCGAATAAACCTCTCCAACTGCTCCAGGTGTAATTATCCAATGCTCCACTAACTAGTCAATTGTCAGATCTAAAAACCATAGATCGCGGGTAATTCGTAGTCCCCGCGGCGCGTACCGTACCGCCAGCCGCCCTTTACCACTCCCGCGCTCCACGACTACCTCAATACCACTCCAGTTCCCATGCCTCACAGTCCATTGCTGCTCAAATTCGACAACTTCACACTCTCTCCCTAGCCACGACTCTGCATTCCGGGCCCGCTGAATCACCCTCCCGGTCCGGTCCGTTGCACCGGTCCGCGGTCCGGTGAGTGGTCCGGACCGGAGTTGGGTCCGGTCCGTGGTCCGGACCGACTCCGGACCGGAGCGGGGCGCCGCTCACCCATGATGTGGTCCGTCTGACTGAGGTTGACGCTGCGCAGCTCCTCAGTGGTGGCCACAAACTTGGCAGACAGGCCGGCGCTGCGCTTCTCGCTCAGCCAGTCCTGGGTCAGGTCGCGGCCGTCCTGGCGTTTACAGGCGCTCGGGTTCTCCGGCGCGAACCGCGTGTTGTTCAGGTTGGCGATCATGTTCTGACGACCGCCGCCGAAAATCACCTGAGAATGGGACAGATAAAACAACAAATGGTTAACCGTTTGAGTAAGAGGTAAATGTTATGCAGTGCAGATAAAGAACTGGTACCGAAATACCATGGACCAAAGTCGGCGCCATATCACACCGGTTTTCACAACGCTTATTTCGTTAATCGTTATGCACCGCGATAAGCCTTAGGTAGCTATAAAATATAATGAATGCGCGAAAGCGATATTACACACCACAGTTACATATTAATCCAAGCTGGTGCAATCAACACCTTTATGAAGTGAACTGGGACGCATATTGCATCGGTTGTCGGCGGCATGCTCTCTCACCTTAGCCAGCTTTCCGGGGGCGTTCTCGACCAGCTGGCGGGCGATGTCGACGCAGTCCCGGCCCCGCTCGCCCAGTTTCTCGTCACACTCCCAGTTACGGTGGGCAGACTTGGCGTACAGCGCCGCCGGTGTGGCGTGGGTGATGCGCGTGGTGGTGACGATACCTGTCGAGGAGGTGTAAAAGGGGTGTGAGAGGGGAGGGGAAGGAGAGGGAGAGAGAAAAAGAAAGACGAGCGGATATTCGATTGAGCGTTAGACGGACACGGAAGGGCGGGGAGAGAGAGAGAGAGAGAGAGAGAGAGAGAGAGAGAGAGAGAGAGAGAGAGAGAGGGAGGGAGGGAGGGAGGGAGAGAGAGAAAGAAAGAGAGCGAGAGGGAGCGAGAGAGAGAAAGAGAAGGAGAGAGAGAGAGCTGGGAGAGGGAGGGAGGGAGGGTTGGAGAGAGAAAGAGAAAGAGAGAGAAGGATAGAGGAGAAAAAGAGAGGGAGAGAGAGGGAGATATTATATATATATATATATAATATATATATATAGGTATATATATATATATATATATATATATATATATATATATATATATATATATATATATATATATATATATATATATATACCTTCAACGTCACTCGGTACTGACTTTCACAACTGAACTGAGTACAGACAACAAAATACCTTTCTTGGACCTGGACATTGACGCACAGGACGGAACCTTCAAAACTAAAGTACACCGCAAACCTACCAACAGTGGTAAGACAATGCATGGCGAAAGCGAATGTCCAAAGAGATACCACACCAGTGTCATAAGAGCATTCATTAGACGAGCTATCAAACACTGTTCAGACTGGACCACTGTGCATGACGAGCTGCAAATATCGAAACAAATTTTGGTCAACAACGGCTATTCAAACAGTGACATCGACTCTGAAATCAAATCACAACTGAACAGGACACATGAACAACACCAGACCACACAGCAAGAAACCATCACACTTTTGGTGAAAAATCAGATGTCTTCAGCGTACCGTGTAGATGAACGGGTCCTCAGAGATATCGTTCTTAAAAACATCCAGCCGGCACAAGACAATGTCAAAATCAAGCTCCAGATATACTACAAAAGTCGTAAAGTGCATTCACTGTTTATGAAAAACAAACCCACGCAGAACAATGACAAACTCAAACGCACCAACGTAATCTACAAGTATTCTTGCCCACACGAAGACTGCCTGCTTCGTAAAACAGATTACATTGGACTTACCACCACCACCCTTTCTCGGCGGCTCACAATGCACCTCCGTGACGGCGCACCCCATGACCACACAACACAGACACACCACAAACACATAACACGACAAGACTTGACGGACAACACGACTATCTTGACGATGTGCAACAACAGACGACGACTCCAAGTTCTTGAAGCTCTATACATTCGTAGAGAGAAGCCAAAGCTCAACAAGCAACTGTCGTCGTGCGTTACGCTAAGCTTATTCTCATAGGCCGGTAGTAGCATCATCCAAAACGATGTTAATATTGTACATAGATTACAGTGTAACATTGTATTGTGTGCGCGCTCGTGTAGTATGTTAAGCTTAACGGAGTACGGAACATTGTACATTGCTTCTCCGCAATGAGGATTCTACTCGCTAAGAACCTCGTTTTAACAAGTGTGAAAAACCAAAAATAACTGTCACAAAATGTCTCTTTGTTTGAAATCGTGTTCAATTCAATTCAATTCAAATTTATTTCCGCGACCCCATCTGGGGTATGGGAAGATCATACACATGAACACACATACACACATAAACGAACACAATAACCGAGCATCGCACGCCTTGTGATGAGCAACGCATAGTGAGATGGCGAACCTCGTGACGAGCATCGTGCCACATTTACATCTTGCACAAAGTGACCGTGGTTCAATATTTACACATACACATTTAGCATATACACAGTTACAGGACATTTTTAAGTAATTAAAGATGCGCTTCCTGAGACTCTGAGATGGGCCATGGATTAACTGCAAGATGGACTACATGTAAAGTTGAAATGGACAACGTGTATTGCATTTTATGGGAGGGAGGGAAGGCAAGGAGAGGGTCAGAAACAAAATAGTCAAGAAAATAAAAATAGTCAGAAAAGAAATAGTCAAGGAGTAGTCAATAAAGTAGTCACTCACTCACTGGAATAGTCACTGAAAGGATGCATTTATGTGCCGGATGAATCTGGACAGCTGATACAACAGCTTCTTGTTATCAGACGAGAAAAGGTGTTTGAATTTGTTTGCATCTGGGCGTTTCCAGTAATATGATGGCAGTAAGGATGTACGTTGTATTTTAAATGCTGGACATTCTAAAATGTAATGGAATTCGTCACCCGGTGCGTTATGCTTACAGAGTGAGCATTTGTTCAGGATAGCATTGCGCTGCCTTCTGCTCCCTGTTATTGGTAGGTTATGGTTTCCACAACGGAATCTGGTTATGGTGACTCGATCCTTTGTATCAAGGAGTGTCAAATAAGGCTCAGCATGAAGTACATCTTTAAACATTCTGTAATTAAGGCATAGTGAGTTTGATTGTACAGAATCTGACCATGACTGCCTAAACATATCCGTAAGGCGTGTTTCAATGACCATTAATGCTCCTTCATTCTTGCCAGGAGCATTAAGCCAATAATTCCCAAGTCCGGAAGTATCAAGAATGTCTTTTACGCTGGACACCCACTGAGGCTTGAAGTTTGAGTTTTGGAGCTTATCAATCTGAAGCTGCATCATAATGTAGGAAAGCTTGTGCTTATCGCCATTTATTAGTCTGATCCAGAAGCCAATGACTCGTTTTTTTATAACTACTTCTAGTGTAGTTCTGCCCAATTCACCATAAGCCATGCAATTGGCTGAGTACTTGCTTAATTTTTAACAGGTGCTTCATAAACTTTTTGTGAAAGTTTTCTATGTACTGTATATGGCTTAATCCCCAGACTTCACAGCCATATAGTAAAACAGGTACCACCATCTGATCAAAAAGTTCCCAACATGTGTCGATACGCAAGTTAAGCGATGATATTATTGAGCACAGTTTGAAGAGGGCTCTATTAGCTTGTGCTACTTGTTTTAGTACGGCAGCTTTCATGGAGCCATTGGATGAGAAGACTGTCCCTAAGTATGTATATTCACGTACCACTTCAAGTGGTTCATTACCAAAGCAGAAAGTGTGTGCTTTTTTAACTCTACCTCTTGAGAAAATTACAACTTTCGTTTTTGCAGTATTTACGGTCAGTTGCCAGTCCTGGCAGTAACGATGAACAGCATCTAAGGCAGATTGTAGTTCTATTGGAGTTTCAGCAAGGACTATCGTGTCATCAGCATAAAGCAGGCAAAATATCCTCATAAAGTACTCCACGTCATCATCGCTCAAAGCCTCTTTGATTTCGTTGCTGAGAAATTCTAGACCCTTGAACTTTTTGGAGATCGTTAATTCAAAATCATTTAGGTACAGTGCAAATAAAAGTGGTGAGAGATTTTCGCCTTGCCTTACACCAATATTGCAAGTGAATAAATCAGAGACACTAGACCCTTCTTGTATACATGACTTGGCATTGGCATACATGTTATAAATGACCCTTAATATCTTACCATTTATGCCATTGGAAATAAGCTTCCTCCAAAGCATTGCCCTATTCACTAGATCGAAAGCTTTTTTGTAGTCAATGAAAGCACAATACAAACGCTTGTGGTGAAATGAATATAACTCTATGATGGACTTGAGAACAAATATGTGATCAATTGTGGAGTGGTTTGCCCTGAATCCAGCCTGCTCATCGCCAATAAGACCTTGTCCTTCAATATATAGTGTAAGTCTGCGATTTATCACAGCTGTAAACAGTTTCCCTATGCAACTAAGGAGGGTAATCCCTCTGTAATTGTCAGGATCATCGGGAGAACCCTTTCCCTTGAAAAGAGGTTTGATTACCCCAACAGTCCAGTCTGTAGGTACTAGACCAGACTCGAGTACCACATTGAAGAGCTTAGTGACACACATTACAAACGAGTTAGGGGAGTACTTCATGAACTCATTACGAATTCCATCGTTTCCGCACGCTTTGTTGTTTTTAAGCCTTTTCAACTGCGTTGCAACTTCTTTTTCATCAAAAGGGCCATTTATTGCTTCATTTATGCTGAAGCTGTCCACCAGAGTCAGCGGGTCTGGCTGAGTGTTTACAACTGCATCAGCATCATAACTTATCTTTTTGAAGTGGGCCATAAGAGCCTGGAGTGGAACAGGGTGGTCTTTTACTTTACTCTGGACTGGCTTCTTAAGGATATTCCAGTATTCCTTAGGGTCGTGAGGTTTCAGGTGCTTGAGGAGTTCATGCAGCTCCTGATTATACCTAAGCTTGGTTTTCTGTATAAGTCTTTTGTAAGATTTAGCAAGTTTACCCACATTAACTCTGTCATGGTCAGATTTACTCAGCTTGGACTTGTGTTTGGCCGACAAGTATTCCTTGCGCTTGGTTTTACACAAATCATCGAACCATGGTTTATCTGTCTTTTGCATTTTAGCATTATGTTTTGATTGACGTTTATGCCACTTTGCTTCAGATTGGTTACACTGTTTCAGCCTGCACATTCCAAGTGTCCTGGCAGGTGATAGTAAAATTTCACATAGATTGTTTGACAGTGCATCTATACTAGCATTGGAAAGTGTTTGCATGTTGTCTATTGCATTGTCCATTTCCTCAGTTAAAAGCTGTATATTATCATTACTAATACCAGCGGTAAATGCACCTGCCAGTTCGCTTTTCCAGGAAGTAAGTAATACTGGGTTGTCACTGACATTGTGGTCGGACTCAAAGATATCGTCATAGGTAGGGGCATGGACATTCTTCTCCGGCATTCGGTCTTTGAAAGCAATGTCCATGTTAAGGGGGCAGTGAATGTCAGATAAACATTTGTCCAGTACATCTACTTCAAAAGATAATATGTCAGGGAGAAGGCAGGTTGACATTATAATATAATCAATGACACTTTGTCCATTTGCATTCATACATGTGTAGCTGCCAACACCAGCATCTCTTCCAAATCTGCCATTAACAATCCTCATGTCAGCAGCTCTGAGACACTGAATAAGCTGGTGGCCATGGCTATTTGACACTTGGTCCTGACTACTACGA